TCCCGAGCGCGATATACAAACGGACGATGTTGTAGTAATTCGTCACGAACAATTACCTCCCACCGCGTGGAAATTAGGTCGTGTAACTAATGTTTATCCCGGTACCGACGGTCGCGTTAGAGTAGTCGATGTAAAAACGGAAAACGGGATTGTAAGACGACCAGTAGCCAAGTTGGTCATTCTGACCAATTAAAAATTGTTTAAATTTCTTAAATTCGCAGCCTCTCTATTTTTTCGTAGAATGGAAAATTTAAATGAGATGGTTGCCACTCCTCTGCCTGACTATGAGGATGATGTCCCCATGTCGGATGAGGACAGAGATGACGATATTATTATGGTTCCGCTCACCGATCTGGACCCCACTCCAGCAAATGAAAACAATGCCGAAGCTGCAGCCGCTGCTCCTCGTAATGAGCTTGCTCCCGCCGAGGTTTTAGTAGTCCAACCTGCTGTGACCGGGATGTCTTCTGAGCCAGCAGCTCCTCTACGGGAGACTGCACCTGCTGGTTCCGATGTACGCTCCTCTGGAAGCGACCCAATGGCGAATGCATGTGAGGGCTCCGCAGGTTCCAGGAAGTGTCGTATGTGCCATCAGAAGCACCATCTCAGGCATTGTGGTAGCTTTAAGAGGCTGCCACTAAATAAGCGCATCCGGACCGTGGTCAAACTACACGTTTGTTCCAATTGTTTGGGTGCCGGTCACGTGCTCCGGAATTGCCGGACTGCATCAACATGCGAAGAGTGCAAGGGCAGACACCACACCCTACTTCATCCGTCCGATCCCTCTTCTCCTTCCGCAAGGAATAGTCGTCCGCGTTCCCATAGACGTAAACGTCCGTCCGCTTCTGCTGGTCCGTCCGTTCCACCGACTCCAGTGAACCCCGTCCGTAGTCTGGCAATACAGCCAATTGTTACGTTGGGCCCTACCATTGTCGCTCAACTTTTCTTGGGTTCACGATGGGGCCCCGTCCGAGCACTTTTGGACCCATGTGCAGGTAACAGCCGTATATGCAGTTCATTGGTCCAATCGTTGCGACTACCTTCCATGCCCGTAGGACCCGATCTATTTTCCCAGATCTCGTTGGGCTCGTCCTACCATTCGTCGACCAAGTTGTTGGTGTCTGCCCGAGTGATGAACCTCACCCACTTGGTTTCTCCCACCGAATCCGCTTCAGCGGACGCAGCTTCGCAATTTGAAGGTATGATGCTAGCCGATCCGCAATTCTTCCGAGCGTCACGGGTTGCCTTGGTGTTGGGTGCCGAAGTGTACCCTAAAATCATGAAGACACAGACCTATACAACACCAGGAAGCCTATGGGCCCAACTGACCATCTTCGGATGGATTGTGTCGGGTCCATGCCCCATGTGAATTCTGTTTGAGTCTTCACCAGAAAGCTTGCCCGTCCAGAGGTTTTTTGCACAAATTGTTTTTTGAAAAAAATTATAAAAAAAATTTAATTGAATAAATATATTTTATTGTGAATTTTGAATAATTAAATTGCAACATAGTGAGATGTTGCAAGGCCGGCGGCAAATGTTTAATCTAAACACATTTTTTATTAATTTCATTCTTTTTGTACGTTAGAATTTGACTACATACTATTTGTATGCATCTTTGTGATTTCCATCACAAATATGCATTGTCAAATTCTAACGAGTGACATCTACGATTAAGCGCCACTTTGCAACTCTCTCGCTTCTCTCGTTGCTTTAAACGTCACTTTACTTCTCGTTTTGGATTACGTCCAGCCATCACACAAAATTTTGTAAGTTATATTATTTACGATAATATTTCTAATTAATTTTCAATAAAACCCACTGTCAATATTGACAACAAAATTCTAACTCCTTTTGTTTCATTTATTTTTATTTTTTCATATTGCTACGCAAACAGTTAGTATCGGCGTCTTGTAAAGTGTGAGTGTGGCCTGGCGGGATGTGGCCTTGCTCTTGAGTTGTTTGCTCAGACCATAGTAGCATAGCTGATGCCATTCGTTTTGTTTATGGCGGTACCAAGATATATTAAATCTTTGACTACCTCGAAGCTGTAGTTCTCAAGTTCCATAGTTGGTCCGAGTCTACTGGACGTCGTGCGCGTTGATGCCATCAGCTTGTTATTCTCACCGTTTACTGCCAGACCCACTTTGGCAGACTCCTTCTCAATTTGTTCAAAGGTGGCTGTTACCGCTCTCAATGTTCCACCCATTATATCGATGTCATCGGCGTAGGCGAGTAACTTGTGTTGTTTGTAGTTCTCAAGTTCCACAGTTGGTCCGAGTCGACTGGACGACGTCTTGCGCGTTGATACCATCAGCTTTGTCTTCTCGTCGTTCACTGCCAGACCCACATTTTCAGACTCCTTCTTAATTTTTTTAAAGGTGGCTGTTACCGATCTCAATGTTCCACCCATTATATCGATGTCATCGGCGTAGGCGAGTAACATGTGTTGTTTGGTGTACAGAGTGTCATTTCTGTTCACTTTTGCCTCTCGTATGACCTTATCCAGCAGGATGTTAAAAAGGTCACACGACAAACTGTCACCTTGTCTGAATACTCGTTCGGTATTGAAGGGCTCTGATTTTAACTGCTGACCTTGTACCACTTAAACTTATCCTGCATAGCCCTATTAATTTTGCAGGAATGCCAAACGCAGACATGACTTTATACACCTCTGAACGGATAGGGTTGCCAAATGCGGCTTAATAGTCGACGAATAGGTAGTTTGTGTCGATGTGATTTTCGTGAGGTTTTTTTCAGGATTTGGCGCAAACTGAGAATCTGGTCAATGGTGGATTTGCCAGGTCTGAAGCCGCACTGGTATGCCCCAATAATGTCATTGACTATTGGCTTCAGTCGTTCACACAGCACGCTGCATAGCACTTAATATGCGATGCGAAGGAGACTTATTCCACATATCGTCTTGACTCCTTTTTTGTGCACGGGACAAAGGATGCTGAGGTTCCAATCATTGGGCATGCATTATTCTAGCCAAATTGTACTAATCAGCCGGTGCATGCTCCTGACCAGCATCTGACCACCAGACTTGAATAGTTCGTCTTGTAACCCATCGGTACCTGCTGCTTTATTATTCTTCAGCCTATTGATAACTGTTCTGACTTCATCTTGGCTTGGTGGTATACACTCTATGCCGTCATCTATTATTGGTTCTGAGGTATCCTCTTCACCGCTACTATTTGATATCAGATGTTTTTCAAAATGCTCCTTCCAGATAGTCAACACGCTGTCTGTATCTGTCACCAGGTTTCTTTCTTCATCTCTAGAGGAGGATGTGCCTGCACCAAAAACTTCGGTTTGGTGTTTTACCCGTTGGTAAAATTTTCGGACTTCATTCTGACTCCTGTACATCTCGCTTTGCTCACGCTCATGTTCTTTCTTCTTTTTTCTCTGAAAACACGTTTCTCCTCTCTCCTTTTCTCCCGATAATTCTCCATCACATTACGTGTTACTACTGTCTGCAGGGTTGCCTATGCGATGTGTTTTTAACATTACGACACTCAAGATTTTAGCACGGATTTCTTGATGGTGGTTGTTGGTACCCAAGTGTTGCTTTAGCTGTAGTTTGTAGGGAGTGGGCATTTGTTTGACATTGTGCTTCTATACTATTATTGGGAAAGAAGTGCTTTCGTCAAGCATGTGGATCACTGTTCACCAAACAGGCGCCCGTGGGCGCTTTGGGAGAGTACCAATACAATCTCAGTTCTGTGTTCGAACTCAACATTATTCTCGACATTGAACATGTCGTATGCTTTGCAATGCTTTAACATAGACGATCTGTACCGAGAGAGCGAAAATTACTCTCCCAACGGATCTATGCGTGTGTCCAACACAATCATAGCAGTTTGCATATGTATTGTTGGCTAACCCTGATGTGGATAAGTTGAGCGGAGTAGGCCTCTGCTACCTATTGTGTTTGCAGCTTTTTCGGCGTCGAGTTTCCGTGTTGTGTTAGATCGCACCTTTGCTGCAACATTCAGACAAGTGCGAACCTTGGCTGCTACAAGGTAGTGGTCCGAATTGATATTCCCTCCTCGGATTGATCGAACGTCTAATACACTGGATGAATACGTTCCGTCTATCACAACATGATCAATTTGATTTCTCGTTGTTCGATCGGAAGAAATCCAGGTGACCTTTTGTATATCGAGATGCTTGAATCTGGTGCTGCTAACTACCATGTTTTTTGCTGCCGCGAAGTCAATCAACCTCATGCCGTTATCTGATGTTTCTTCATGGAGGCTGAATTTTCCGACGGTGGGGCCAAAGATATTCTTACTTCCGATTTTTGCATTAAAATCTTCTAGCAAAATTTCAATGTCATGGCCAGGGCAGCGATTATATGCTGTTTCTAGGCGCTCGTAAAATATGTCTTTGGTCTGTTCATCTTTATGTTCGGTCGTAGCATGGGCGCAAATGAGACTGAAGAACTTCACTTTTATACGGATTATAGCAATTCCCTCACCTACAGGAGTGAATCTAGAGACGACGTCTTTTATTCTATTCTTAACCAAGAATCCGCAGCCAAATTCATGTCTCGTTTCATGGCAGTTATAATACAGGCTGTAATGATCTGATTTGTTTACGTCAGTCCTTTTCTATCTCATTTCCTGTACGGCAATAATATCGTACTTCTTGAGTACATCCGCCCAAGCGAGAAATGCGCCTGTTCTGTACAACATGTGCACATTCCAAGTGCAGATTCGCAGATCGTGGTCAACATTAGGGGGTTTTGTTTTTCCGAGAGAGGGCAACTAATCTGACGCCTCAACCCATTTTGTATAGGTGAATTCGCGGCACATATTAACTCAATATTTCATCGGGTGATGAAAATAGCTCCACAGGTGGTACCGCGGGATGGTCAGTGTCCACAATTGAGATGAAAGTGGGGCCAAGATAAGCCTGGACTTCGCCATGTTAAAGCCAATCAGAGCCGTTGCTTGGTATCTATCATCTCCTACGCCAGGTTGTCGAATAGGGAAATATTAAAACAGAACTACAAAAAGAAAAAATGGTTTAAAAAATCCACGCCTGTTTTAGGTCCACAAAAAAAAAAAATATTTAAAAAATCCCCGCCTGTTCTCTACTCAAAAAAATTATTTCAAAAATCCACTTTTCTTGTGGCCCTCGAATAAAAGTTATTTAAAAGATCCACGCCTCTTGTGGTCCACGAAAAAAATCCAAGCCTCTTGTGGCCCGTGAAAAAAATTATTTAAAAATCGCAAACAAATTTAACTTTCATAGCTTAAACTTAATATCTTCAAATTCATTGCTGCCGGCTATGGCTCTGTGTGCCTTAGCTTTCTGAAATTTCGAGTTTTTGCAACAATATAAAATTTTTTGTTGCATTGAATATTTTTTTGTTGTTGTTGCAAAAAAAAAAATATTTTAAATTAACTTCATTTTTTATCAGCTTTTGTTGGCTCAAACTATAATTTGTTTTTATTGTTATCCAACATTCATTCAACATTAAAGTGGTACAAACCTCAGAGGAATTTGTGTCGTAGATGAATGAGAGAAGGCCCTATTTGCAAAAGGAGAGGTCAGCCAGGGCACAGTGGTATGAAGGCAACAAAAATAAGTTATTAAAAAAAATAAGTAGAAATTATTTAAATTAAAATTAATTATTTAAATTAAAAATGATCCTTTTTGGAAAATAATTTTTATTATCGTACCCAAATTCGATTCGGAACCACTGTTTGAACCTCACAATCCTACGTTATAATTCGAGGCCGGGTAGAAAACCGACAAGAATTTGTTTGTACCACAAACGCAGGAAAGTTGTACCAAACCACAGGACCAAGAATGAAAACAAACTTGGTGGAACAATCCCCACACAAACACAAGCAACCACTCACACACACACACACACACAACTGACTAACACAGCCGAAATGCACAAAAGGCAAATGTTTTATTATGTTTCCATTTTACTGCAATTTGTTTTGAGCCATGTTCTCAACTCGCCATTCAACATTTGTGGCAGAATAAACAGTCATCTGAAAATATATCCAGAACACACATACACACACATACATTTGAGGCCTCAACTCTCTGCTGCAACATGGCAAACAAAACACATAGGCCTTTCGGTCTTAACAAATTGGCAGAATGCCAGTTCCACCAAAAAAGAAAAAAAAAAACATCTCTCTGATGTTGCAACAATTGCCCGGATGTTATTGTTGGCCGGGCCCATACATTGCACCCTGTTGCAAAACTCATACCGGAGAAGGATGCAACTAATACTGTTGGAGTTGTCGGAGCCGCTGACATTGGCGTCAACGTCGCGGCTACAAAATGAAAGACCTCCAACTACAATCAAAAAGTGAAATCAATGTTGCAGCTTTGAAGACGGATCCTTCCAGGGATTTGAAAAAATATATAAAAATTTTCAAAAAATCCACGCCTATGGATAGTAGCCGAAAAATAATGTTTAAATATTCCACACCTATGGTTAGTATCTTGAAGAGTTTAGTGTGAGTACCTGCCTATTGACCTACCTCACATTGGCTGAGCCACTGAGCCAACTGTCAGGCTGGACCGACAGATCAAGGGGCACCTAACAACCGCGGTACTGAAAACCTCCGTTCTCCCATTTCGACACAAGTCCGGGCTGGTATCCCAAACAAAAATATACGACAGAATAGCAATTCCCTCATCTACAGGAGTGAATCTGGAGACGACGTCATTTATTCTATTGTTAACCATGAATCCGCAGCCAAATTCATGTCTCGTTTCATGGCAGTTATAATACAGGCTGTAATCATCTGATTTGTTTACGTCAGTCCTTTTCTATCTCATTTCCTGTACGGCAATAATATCGTACTTCTTGAGTACATCCGCCCAAGCGAGAAATGCGCCCGTTCTGTACAACGTGCGCACATTCCAAGTGCAGATTCGCAGATCGTGGTCAACATTATGGGGGTTTGGTTTTCTCTTTCTTTGCCTTTTCTCTTTCTTACTGAAAACCTCCGTTCTCCCATTTCGACACAAGTCCGGGCTGGTATCCCAAACAAAAATATACGACAGAATCAAAAACCGCAAGCGGCAAGGAAAAACCTTGCCCCAGGCAGTGGCGACGTCGAACAAATACACACAACACAAAAAATTAACATGCTGTCCTCACGGACTGCACAAAGGACCCAAAGAACCGCGGCATCGGACATCACAACACAAACGATCAACGAAACTGTCTTCACGGGCAGCCTACACGACATCCAAAAAAGCAGAAGTGAACCTCGCTAAGTAAAGAGACCGTGAACCTCCCACGATGCGGAACGACGACAGCCAGCAGCAGCAACACCAACAGCAGCTCTCCGCCAACAACCGCACCATCACCCACCGCCACCCGGTGCACCAACCCACCACCACCCGGTGCAACCGACCGAGCCCACCTGCAAGGGGGCTAAGCACGAGGACCACCTCCACTATGTGCTGTCCTTCTCCTAAATGCTTCACGAGCAAAACTACTTAAACAACTAAAGGTCCGATCGTCTTCAAGAGGCCTACTGAAATCCCACCCCGCCCCTCCATTCGATATACCCATACTTGCAAAATCTCTAATGTCACCATAGTAACAGCTTTCCGTCAGTATATGCTTTCAGTCCTCAGTCATCCCACACCCACATAAATCCGTCTGAGAGAACCATGCCCCGTCAGTAAGAAACCAGTACTTAAGCCGAAGCGAAAGTCTGGCCGGTTCACTACGAACGTTGCGTCACGAATAAATTCGTACGTCACCCACACTTTATCATTGTTCGTCCACCTTGTCCTCCACCTATCAACAATACACTCCCGAAGGGTAGTGCTGTACTGCCTACTCTCCCCATCCATCAGATCAGAGGGCTTGAGCCAATCATCTTCATCCAACTACAAGCCACGCTTAAGCTTATACATGATAGCCCTACATCTCACTTCAAGATCAAGCGGCGCGGCGCCAAGCAGCACTTGCAACGCCTCTGTGGAAACAGTGCGACACACTGACAAACATGCTAATATTACGACCCGCTGACACGAAAGGAGCTTCCTCTGCCCAAAGAAAGATGAGGCAGTTCTGTACCATATAGGTACACCATAAGTTGCACAGGCAACAAAAAGCCCACCATATAGGATGGGCACAGAACGCCTACCCAAGCCCCAATCAGTCCGCAAAACACGCCTGATGATCCCAACGGGTTCACCTTCAAGCGATCGAAGTGTGGAAGAAGATTCAAACGCTCTGACACCGTTATCCCGAGATATTTAACAGTACACGAATATCTTATGCCGCGTTCACCGGCTTGAATGCAGGGAGGACGGCTGCGTGTCAACCTGCCTTTCAGTAGCATCAGCACCGTCTTCTCGGTTGCCACCTCCACTCCAAGCCTGCACAATCTGCATAGCTTGCTCACCAAGATTTTCAAGTTCAAGGCGACTATCCCCTTCAATCATGATGAGCAAGTCATCCGCATATGCACAGACCTTGATGCCGCAACAGAGGATCCATCATTAGATTCCATTTAAATGGAACCCTGTGGGCAATCACGCTGCACATCCCTCCAGACCGAAGCACTGGCTCCCACGACACAAGCCTTCCTATCCCGAAAATAACTCGTCCAAAGAGCAATCCCTCTACACCCGACCTCTGACAACCTTGTGAGCACGCTATCCCATAAAGGGATGTACAATGCGCCTTTAAAATCCACAAATATGCCAAGGACATATTTAGAATTTGACCCGTTCACGCTATCTTGCACATGCCGCCACGCGTCCACAGTATTTCTACCCTCGGTAAAACCGAACTGATATAAGGACGTACCTTCGCTGTAGCATTCCTTAAGCCGTGCCACCATAATCCTCTCCAGCACTTTTCCAAGAACTGGAAGAAGACTTACGCCCCGATACGAGCGAGGAACACCCCTCACCCGATTAGGCGACTTAAGTAACACCACCCCTCGGGCACACTTCCAAGTACGCGGGAAGTATCCATGACGAATGCAGCTGGAGAAAATGGACTTGATATTATAAAAACACTTTTTAAAAAATCCACGCCTATGTATATGCTATAAATATATTTTTTTAATCCACCCCTATGGATATGCTAAAATCTACGCCTAAGGATATGCTACAAAACTATTTTTTTTTTTTAATCCAATCAGTTTTATTTTTCATACATTTTATCGATAATTTTCGAATATTTTTTCTGCACAATACTTCGGCGACTTTTGAGGGTAGGTCCTGAAAAAAAACACATAAAATTATTTCAAAAAAAAATTTTTAATAAAAAATAGAATTTTTTCGACTTACCCAATTCCCCCGTGGCTATGGTAAAATCATGTGGCAACACCTGAAAGTATTGAATTTTCTGGGCATTCGAAAGGGCTCGTTCATTATATCGATTAATCCCATCCGTTAGACCATGGAACACCCTGGAATCAAGTCTAACCTCAGCTCCATTGGGTTGGAAATTTTCGAAGCTTTCTGGTAATTGAATATTCAGAATATCATCCAATTTTTTACAGTGCACCCCAAGGTTTGCCAGCCATAGTATGGCCTCAGGTAAGAGAATATTTGTTGGATAGCCCGTATCGGGATTAATATAAGTCTGAAATTTATCAAAGTAAAAATTAAAGTGTTTGTATACACGATTTTTTTTCTTTTTCCCCTTACCTTCATTGTAAGGAGTACCGTTAAATACTTCCGATTATCCCCAATGACCATTGCATTGCTAATGCAGGGCAATTCCTTTTTGATAATATCCTCAATCGGTATAGGGGATATATTTTCCCCACCTGAGGTAATGATAACCTCCTTTATGCGCCCATTAATATAAAGATTCCCAGCGGCATCCAGGTGGCCCCTATCACCACTTCTGATGTAGCCATCCTCGGTAAAGGCCTCCTTAGTTTTTTGTGGTTCCTTTAAATATCCCATAAAATTGAAACGCCCCCTTATGAGGATCTGAAATTATGAAGGAATTTAATAGAAAAACTTCCCAACTGATTTTTCATGCCCTTACCTCTCCCTCCCCTTCTCCATCAGGATTGTCGATTTTAAATTCAGCATCTCCTATGCCCTGACCACTGGTATGTAAGTTCGGTCGTTGGAAATCATAGCATACTCCACCACAGGTCTCAGACATACCGAAAGCCTCCACTAGTCGCAAATCAAGGCTGAGGAAATAGCGTTTTATGTCATCCGACACAGGGGCGCCACCGGCAAAGCAAATTTTTAAGGCATTTAAACCCAGAGCAATTTTTTGTCCATGGCAAACTTCTGAGGCCCAGCAGGGTGGCGATATAGTTCTGGGATTGCTGCAATAAAATTTCAAATGAAACCTCATCCTTCAATTTATTGAGCTCTTACCCTTCTATGTTCTGGTCCACATAATATTTCAGCATGCTTCTGCGTGCTCCCTTGAACGCTTTCCTTTGTCCCTCATCTTCCAGGTTCGCTTCGATTTTCCTTTGCCTTTCGATAAGCTTTTCAAAAATTCTTGGTACCCCAAAAAACCATGTGGGCCTAACCACCTTTAGCGTATCACAGAGGGTTCCTTTCATGGCATTGCGATCGGCAAAATACACCACTGCACCATTCAGCATACCAAGGAAAATATCGAAGAATTGTGAAGCTATATGGCTAAGGGGTAAATAGGTGATACAGGACTCCCGACCTGGTTCTAAAAATGGCAGATTTTTATTCAAGGCATGGACTGCATAGAGTACGGCATCGTGGGATATCATGACACCTTTGGGCATGCCCACAGTACCAGACTGTGCACAGAATGGGAGAGAGGGAAGACAGAAAGAAGAAGAAAAAATTGCAGTATTTCTTCTATTGCTGAATTTGCATTTTCGATTAAAAAAAAGTTAGCTGAATTGCATTTCTCTGTATAACAAGCTAGCTGAATTAAGATGTTCTATAAAATATTTTGCTGAATAAAATTTCTCTACAGAAAAAGTTAGCTGAATTAAGGTTTTCTTTATAAAAAGTTTGCTGAATTAAATTTTTTTTCAAATAAAAACGTAGCTGAATTGGTTTTTTTCGTATGCGAAGTTTGCTGAATAGAGTTTTTCTTGAAAAAAACGTAACTGAATTGAGATTTTCTGTGTAAAAAGTAAGCTGAATTGCATTTTTCTATAACAAAACTTTGCTGAATTTAATTTTTTAAAGTTTGCTGAATTGAACACATATAAAGTAAAACGTAGCTGAATTAATGTTTTCGTGTGATAAATGTAGCTGAATTGATAGTTGTTTTATGAAAAATTGATGAATTGAGTTTTTCTCTATAAAAAGTTAGCTGAATTGTATTTTTCAATAACAAAACATTGCTGAATTGAATTTTTCCAAAGAATAAGTTAGCTGAATTAAGATTTTTTGTATACAAAGTTTGCTGAATTGAATTTTTATAAAGAAAATGGTAGCTGAATTAATATATCCATAAGCAAAATTGGCTGAATTTAATTTTCTTTAAATAGTAATAGCTGTATTGACAATTTCTGTTTAAAACTTGACTGAATTAAAATTTTCTATAGCCAAACTTTGCTGATTTAAATTTGTCCTACCAAAAAGTTAGCTGAATGGATGTTTTCTCTATAAAAAGTTTAATAAATATAAATAAAAATGTAGCTGAATTGTTATTTCTGTATGGAAAGTTTGCTGAATTGAGTTTTCCTTTAAAAATTTTCGATCTGAAATGGATTTTTTTATAAAAATTTTGCTGAACTGAATTGTTTCTGTAACAAAAATTTGCTGAATTCAATTTTCAGAAAAATAGTGCTGAATTGCTTTTTTTTATTATAAATTCCTAGCTGAATTGAGTTTTTTCCACAGAATATGTTTGCTGAATTGCATTTTTCCAATAGAAAATTGAGCTGAACTTGTTTTTACGCAGAAAAAGTCTCCTATATTGATTATTCTATAGAATATCGTTGCTGAATATAGTTTGTGTATAGCTGAATTGCATTTTTCAATAAAATACATTATCTTTGTATGGCAACAACTAGCTGAATTAGGGTTATTGTCAGAAAAATCTTGCTGAATTGCTTTTTTAATCATAAATTTCCAACTGAATCGAGGTTTTCGGGAGAAAATGTTTGCTGAATTGCATTTTTTTTTAATATAAAATTGTGCTGAATTAATTTTTTATACAGAAAATACCTAGCTGAATTGACAGTTTTATCGAAATATTAAGTGAATAGCTAATTGCGTAAGAAAAAATTTGCTGAATTGAGTTTTCTATACAAAAAAAGTATCTAAATTGCTGAATTGAAAATTTATAGAAAATATTTCTTTGGAAAATGTTTGCTGAATTACTTTTATTACTTACTGTGAATATAAGTAGAGCGCATAGGTTGGGCGCCACATCCAGCTCCCGCCGTAGCAACTCCTCTTTCAAGTTCTGCCCAAATTCCAATGACATCAATGCGGGCCAGGAATAATAACCCTTATCCGAAGCATCTTCTTGAAAATCATAGGGACCAAATAATTGTATTACCGCTTTTAATTTTGGCAGGCGGGAACGTATCGCTCGTATTTTCATTAATTGCTGAGTATCCTCTACCACCACTACCTCTGCATCGGAGGTCTGCAAAACATGAAAACATGCCTCAGCGGAATTTGTTGTATAAATACCGGCTACTACGGCATTGATACGCAACGCGGCCAATTCGATGTAGAACCATTCGGGACAATTAGATGATAAAATTGCCACAGATGAACGGGGCGTCACACCGAGATGGAGTAAAGCTAGGGCGGATCTTTCAACGTAGCTGTAATATTCTTCATAGCTTCGAGTTGTCCACTGGTAGGAGGGGTGTTGATGGCTGGTATCTTTGTAGGCCAAGGCAGTGTAGTTTTTATATTTGTCACAGCTCTCTTGAAAAATTTGGGGAATGGTTTTGGGCTTGATATCGGCGAAATTATCCGTGGAGGCTAATATTTTCACTGGTTCATGTAAGCAGCAAGATGTATAGCTGGTGGCGGGTTTCAGATGAGACATTTTAGGGTTGCGGATTTTCGTATATCTATTTCATGTAGATTTCCAATTAAACTTTTTTATTCACTTCTATTGCCGATCGTTGAGAGTTAGCAATTAAAACTGTGTGAATAATATCGATGTTCGGCGTATTTATAGTTTTATTAATTGAAGTTTTTTTTTGTTACTTCGAGATTATTAAGTCATCTGATTTTGAACTTGAACTTTAATCACACATTGAAACTTTTTCAAATTCAATGCTTGTTTGACAAGTAGTAAATAATTAAATTTAATAAGAAAATCGTTCTATCAATGCAATAGGCAAACATACACACTAGCAGAGGTACCAGAGGCGAAATATGTGTATTTTTTAAATAATTTTTCCAAGCACCTACAAGAGGCGTGGATTTTTTTAAATAATTTTTTTCATGGGTCTACAAGAGGCGTGGATTTTTTAAATAATTTTTTCAGGGCTCTACAAGAGGCGTGGATTTTTTTAAATAATTTTTTTCATGGGTCTACAAGAGGCGTGGATTTTTTAAATAATTTTTTCAGGGCTCTACAAGAGGCGTGGATTTTTAAATCATTTTTTCAGGGCTCTACAAGAGGCGTGGATTTTTTAAATCATTTTTTCAGGGCTCTACAAGAGGCGTGGATTTTTTAAATCATTTTTTCAGGCCTCTACAAGAGGCGTGGATTTTTTAAATCATTTTTTCAGGGCTCTACAAGAGGCGTGGATTTTTTAAATCATTTTTTCAGGGCTCTACAAGAGGCGTGGATTTTTTAAATCATTTTTTCAGGGCTCTACAAGAGGCGTGGATTTTTTAAATCATTTTTTCAGGGCTCTACAAGAGGCGTGGATTTTTTAAATCATTTTTTCAGGGCTCTACAAGAGGCGTGGATTTTTTAAATAATTTTTTCAGGGCTCTACAAGAGGCGTGGATTTTTTAAATAATTTTTTCAGGGCTCTACAAGAGGCGTGGATTTTTTAAATAATTTTTTTCAGGGCTCTACAAGAGGCGTGGATTTTTTAAATAATTTTTTTCAGGGCTCTACAAGAGGCGTGGATTTTTTAAATAATTTTTTTCAGGGCTCTACAAGGGGCGTGAATTTTTTGTTACTCATTTTTTCAGGGCTCTACAAGAGGCGTGAATTTTTTGAATAATTTTTTCAGTGCTCTACAAGAGACGTGGATTTTTAAATATTTTTTTCAGGGCTCTACAAGAGGCGTGGATTTTTTAAATATTTTTTTCAGGGCTCTACAAGAGGCGTGGATTTTTTAAATAATTTTTTCAGGGCTCTACAAGAGGCGTGGATTTTTTAAATAATTTTTTCAGGGCTCTACAAGAGGCGTGGATTTTTTAAATAATTTTTTCCGGGCTCTACAAGAGGCGTGGATTTTTTAAATAATTTTTTCAGGGCTCTACAAGAGGCGTGGATTTTTTAAATATTTTTTTCAGGGCTCTACAAGAGGCGTGGATTTTTTAAATAATTTTTTTAGGGCTCTACAAGAGACGTGGATTTTTTAAATCATTTTTTTAGGGCTCTACAAGAGGCATGGATTTTTTAAATCATTTTTTCATGGCTCTACAAGAGGCGTGGATTTTTTAAATAATTTTTTCAGGGCTCTACAAGAGGCGTGGATTTTTTAAATCATTTTTTTAGGGCTCTACAAGAGGCATGGATTTTTTAAATCATTTTTTCATGGCTCTACAAGAGGCGTGGATTTTTTAAATAATTTTTTCAGGACTCTACAAGAGGCGTAAATTTTTTAAATAATTTTTTTAGGGCTCTGCAAGAGGCGTGGATTTTTAAATATTTTTTAGGGCTCTGCAAGAGGCGTGGATTTTTAAATATTTTTTTCAGCGCTCTTCAAGAGGCGTGGATTTTTAAAATAATTTTTTTAGGGCTCTGAAAGAGACGTGGATTTTTTAAATAATTTTTTAATAGCTCTACAAGAGGCGTGAATTTTTTAAATCATTTTTTCAGGGCTCTACAAGAGGCGTGGATTTTTAAATCATTTTTTCAGGGCTCTACAAGAGGCGTGGATTTTTTAAATCATTTTTTCAGGGCTCTACAAGAGGCGTGGATTTTTTAAATAATTTTTTCCGGGCTCTACAAGAGGCGTGGATTTTTTAAATCATTTTTTCAGGGCTCTACAAGAGGAGTGGATTTTTTGAATATTGTTTTTTTTTTTCAAACAAATTGGAATTTTTTGTATTCTTTTGCAATAAACTTTTCAATCCACTTTTATTTAAATTTAATTTGTCAATTTTCAGTTTGAAACGAGGTGAACTAGAAAACTGTGTTTTTTTTGTGCAACATAAAAACGATGCCACACAATCCGCATACATTCCTTCTGAAGCACAAAAAAAATCACAGTCGCATAGATGTGTTTTTCTTTTTTATTTCGGTGGCATCAATTTCCTAGGTATTTGTTGGTTGAATGTTAGATGTCATGCATCGAAAATGAACCAAACGAATGACATTTTTTATTCACATCCTTATTTTCACATAGAAAATATTTGCCAAAAAATAACAACAACAACACTGGACTTTGAGCGCAAAGTGGAGAGACAGAGGCCAAATCAGACAAGGATTCCAGCTAAAAGTGAAGCAATCAATAGTTGCCAGCAAATGTTTGCCAAAAGGTTGGCTGTTCGAAAGCAAACGTTTGGACTTAACAAAAAATAGAAACTGAAACACAATTGTCAATCTTTGCAATGGAAAGTTTAAGCGCTTTCTGTGATTTGATTTCCAGTTCCAGTTTCTTATTTAAAATTTTCCTTTCGTTTCACCTAAATGTCATTAATTTTTTCGGGTGTTTGTTTGGTAATGTGGGTCAAATGTTTTTCTATATTTGAGTTTGTCTTTTTTTAAGACAGCATGTTTGTTTAAGATTTTTATTTTATGGCGATAATGTTAAATTGCGGAATGCTGTATGGTGAATTTTTAATATTCATTAAATAAGACAATAAATTCGAAAGACAAACATCTTTGAAATTTAGGACCTGCAGGGGTCATGGTTAAATCAAATTTTTTCCAAAACAAAAATAAGCCTGGATTTATTAAATAATTTTTTCAAGGACAACAAGAGGCGTGGATTTATTAAATAATTTTTTTCAAGGGCCAACTGAGGCGTGGATTTATTTAAGAATATTTTTCAAGGGCCAACTGAGGCGTGGATTTATTTAAGAATTTTTTTCAAGGGCCAACTGAGGCGTGGATTTATTTAAGAATTTTTTTCAAGGACCACAAGAGGCGTGGATTTATTTAAGAATTTTTTTCAAGGACCACAAGAGGCGTGGATTTATTTAAGAATTTTTTTCAAGGACCACAAGAGGCGTAGATTTATTTAAGATTTTTTTCAAGGACCACAAGTCGATTTATGCATGTCCGTCCGTCTGTCCGTCCATCTGTCCGTCTGTTGATGTATAGCTCGCATATATATTTTGTCCGTGAAAATCGGTTCAATAAAATGAGGTTCCAGAAAGGCATAAAGATCTAATATTCAAATTCGTTCAATTTCATGCCAATGTTCTTTCGACAGGCATATGTAGAATATACCCCAAGTGGCGAAGGGTATCATATAGTCGCCCCAGTCCGACTTTACTACTTTCCTTACTGGGTTTTCAAAGACTACTAGAGACGGGGATTTATAAAATAATTTTATTTTTAAGGACTACAGAGGCGGGGATTTCTAAACAAATTCTTTCATCACCCCCTTACAGTGGTGGCCTATTTTTTCGAAGGCCAACTGATAAATTTGTCTTACAAATTTATCTTGAAGGAAAAACTTTTTTCTCAAAATCTATGTGTGCCTGATTTTGTATACACACGCCAAAACTTTTTGGCGCTCCTTTATTCTATTTATTCGCCTGATTTCTTCTTTTTTACACAAATCCTCTGCTATTCGCTATCTTTTGTCTTAACTACAGGTGAAGAAGAATCGAAAACTTTTTACAACATTTCATTCATTCAACAAATGTCAGGTAATGACAAACGGTAAATAATTGCCAAATTGCAGGAAGAAATAAAAACACACAAAAAACTGCATTTAAAGTGCTGACGGGATCGATTTCTGGTGTTTGTGTAGCAGCGGAAATTTGGGTCAGATATCAAGTAAAGAGGAGCAAAGGTGAAGGCAACAGATAAAAAATCCACGCCTCTTGTAGGTGCTTGAAAAAATTATTTAAAAAATCCACGCCTCTTGTAGACCCGAGAAAAAATGATTTAAAAAATCCACGCCTCTTGTAGACCTGAGAAAAAATGATTTAAAAAATCCACGCCTCTTGTAGACCAGAGAAAAAATGATTTAAAAAATCCACGCCTCTTGTAGACGCCCACGCCTCTTGTAGACCTGTAGACCTGAAAAAAATGATTTAAAAAATCCACGCCTCTTGTAGACCTGAGAAAAAATGATTTAAAAAATCCACGCCTCTTGTAGACCTGAGAAAAAATGATTTAAAAAATCCACGCCTCTTGTAGACCTGAGAAAAAATGATTTAAAAAATCCACGCCTCTTGTAGACCTGAGAAAAAATGATTTAAAAAATCCACGCCTCTTGTAGACCTGAGAAAAAATGATTTAAAAAATCCACGCCTCCTGTAGGTGCTTGAAAAAATTATTTAAAAAATCCACGCCTCTTGTAGGTGCTTGAAAAAATTATTTAAAAAATCCACGCCTCTTGTAGGGCTTTAAAAAATCCACGCCTCTTGTAGGTGCTTGAAAAAATTATTTAAAAAATCCACGCCTCTTGTAGGTGCTTGAAAAAATTATTTAAAAAATCCACGCCTCTTGTAGGTGCTTGAAAAAATTATTTAAAAAATCCACGCCTCTTGTAGGTGCTTGAAAAAATTATTTAAAAAATCCACGCCTCTTGTAGGTGCTTGAAAAAATTATTTAAAAAATCCACGCCTCTTGTAGGTGCTTGAAAAAATTATTTAAAAAATCCACGCCTCTTGTAGGTGCGCCTCTTGTAGGTGCTTGAAAAAATTATTTAAAAAATCCACGCCTCTTGTAGG